ATCTTATTCTGCAAACTGATTAAAGTGTCCTTCAAACAGTGTTTATTTTCAGTGAAGTAAACCGTAAGCATTATCACTTTTCTCTACTTTCTACGATCTTCAATAACTTTATGTAATAAGTCGTTGAACTCGTTTTAAGCTCCTCTATCATTCTACGAAAACATACCAATCCATTTATAAAAATGGAGGTGACCTTGACATATCCGAAGTACCTACACCTGCAAAAAACTATGAATAAGTCTCTTCGTTCTGTGTAATTTTGGGTAAACAAATATTTCTGTGAACCTTACAGTTTCGAAGATATCTGAGGTGGTAATAGTTATTGCCCCACCCTGTATATAACCTTTATAGTTAAGATTATAAATGCTTATAATGTTGTTCATAACATCCTTAATAGGACTATTTGATAATAATAAATGTGAAATGAAATAGATACAGTAGAAGTAGTAGATTATGTTTGTCATTTAAATACAAGTACTTATTTGCATTAGACATGAGTTTGAATTTATTTGAGAATAATGTATTATTAGTAATTATGAACATTGCCATTTTTTATATTTGATTGATTAAAAAACAGTAGTCACTTTACATAATCAATGATCATAGTTTTTAGAAAGCACTAGATTATATCGAATTATTGAATTTGGCGCTGTAAATTTTTTCTGTTTGTTGTTATCTGCATGTACTTGCATTTAAATTAAATATAACATGAAAGTACAATTAAAAATATGTACTTATCCTAAAATAAATGGAAGCATTTGTATTTCTAAAATTTCAGCAAAATGTTTTCTACAAAACCTATTTTCTGTGGGGTTACAAAGATAAACCCATGGTTCAGCTTTGTTGGAATAATTAAGAAGAGTAATATTAATTTTCGTTTTCATACAGTCTTTTTTTTACATTTATCATAAATGTTATAATTTGATTAAAAATGAGTTGAAGTTGAAAACTTCAGAATGAAATTAATTTTTGACAACTACATTACAGTGCCAGTTCCACATCAAAAGTGACAAAGAAGACTACTACTATACAGGATGATGATTCAAGGTTAACAAATGCTGCTATAGATTTAAATGTACAAAATGATGTAACATTCAACGCACTTGTTTCAACTGAAGAATTATTAGCACAAATAGGATTGGCAAGAGAATTTGCAAGTGATAGCAAAATTGAGCATCCCTATGTTGATAAACTAAAAAGAGTACAAATGATCTTATTTGATTTAAGTCATGCTATATCAAAGACAACATCTGGAGAAAGCAAGTCTTTTGAAAGTAAACATATTAGTGATTTGGAAGAATGGATATCAGAGTATGCCAATCAATTGCCGCCTCAAGAAACTTACATTATTCCGGTAACAAAGAAAAAGATTTCTACCTTATTTGTTCTATATGTATAGTTACATCAAAATTTGTTCAGTGAATCGTGTTGTTATTACAGTTGCTGCGGTATCATTTTTCTAGATAAATTTATATAAGATGAATTAATATTATAATTTTTGAAAAATCAACAGCTTTAACAACATGATACATTGAGAGCTGTTATTCACTCATTTTTGATTTTATAAATTTGTAATAGGGTGGTGGTAAAGCTTGTTCTACTCTACATTCAGCAAAAGCAGTATGTAAGCGTGTAGAGAGAAACGTTGCATCGTTAGTGCAAGATGGTTTATTGAATAAAGAAGCACAAATATATTTAAATAAATTACAAAACTTCCTACTAACAACATCGCGTATTGCAGCAAAGTGTGATCAACGTACAGAAAACATATATATTCCTAGAGCAGAACTTAATGACAATAAGTAAATCTGCTGTTTTGACATAATGATCAATAGAATACTATATCCTCACCTTTTCCATTAATAAATAACTCAAAATAAATGTTCATGCTAAAATTTTGCAATATCATTTTCAGATATATTTTTCAAACATTAGTAGGTTGTAAATATTTTTTAATCGAGTTCCAAGTGTCAGTTAATGATTGAATTGTTGTATTATTACATAAAAACTGTATATAGATATTGTGCTATGTATCAAGTAGTTGATATTTAAAAATTTTAAATAAATTAAGCTGCAGTCTTTAATTATAACAGGCACATAAATGTCTAAACATACTGTTATTAAAAAACGATAATTAGTGCAAGTAATTCCATAGGTAATTACATTGAAATAATTTACCCTAATGACATTCATAAATGACATTCATAAATGATTTTAATTATACTATTTTTGTATACATTTAAAATTGATTAAACATAAATTTTATATTTTGTATGGAATTTTAGTTCAAATGTATCTAAGAAAAGAATAGAATTATTGTAAATACATGTAAAATTGAATAAAATAAAGCGTACATAATAATTGTATTAAATGTATTATGGGTTGAGTTATAAAAACTGCAAACAAGATTTAATTGTATTTATCATTTATTCTAAAATTTCATCTCCTTCAACAATTTCTTTCAAGTTAAGTAATTCTAGCAATCCAGAGCCTTTTGTATCAGATGTTACCAGTTCATCTATTTGTCTATATTGACCAGGATCAATTAGACATATTAAATTCAGTGTTCCATTTTCCCATTCTTCTGTTTCTGGTTTTGTAGTTAGTTTAACTATTTTATCTCTTAACTTTCTCGCCTCTTTTCCTGAAATTACCACTCTGAGCCTCATTTGAGCACGTTCTAATGGAATTATAGCTTTTAACTGTGGAATAACATCTAAAGCCTGTTGTTTAGCGTTTCTATTTGGTTTTACAGAAAAATGAATATCTTTTAAAGCTTTTTCTATCATTGTTACAGTGTATGGGCGTTTAGTTTCAGGATTAACACATTTATCAGCAACAGTTGTTGCAATGTCTTTAAACATAGAATCTAACGCCGAATGCCTCTCTTTGTCTGAAACTTGAAGTTCTCCCTTACTAAGGATCTCTTTACAAATTTCTGTCTGATTATCAGTAGAAAAAGCTTTTAATAGGTCTTCTTTTTTTGCAACTTGACCTTTTGAAACGTTTATAAATACAGTGTGTGTTTGTAGAACTTCATCGATATCTTTCTCTCTGAAATGTCATGTCATTACTGTTATTACTGGTGAATTTTAAGAACTTACTCATCAAAGAAAGAGTAAGTTATGAAGCTATGTATATATGTATGTACAACATATATACATAGTTTATAGGTTATGTTACTTAATAAGGTATATATATTTTTGGAATAATATATGTCCTTATTTCGGAAAACAATTAGAAACTTACAATTTATTTCTCCATGATATAACTTTATTTCTATAACAAGCAATCTCAAATCGTTTTCCTGCTTTTTTCATGCGAACCACGGCAACGTTAGTTAATCTTATTTGATTTGTTGGTGTGAAGATTTTCGACATTTTGAAACTGAACAAAAAATGTAACACTAATTTACTCGAAGTATTACATGTACATTTAAAACTGTAATAAATACGATATGAGTACAGACTTATCTTTACCGTTTTACATACGTCAGTAACTACGGATATAACAAGACTACGCCGTAACTGCCGTGTTGTCGACGGGTAATGAATCTGTGCGATCTGTGCCATCTGTGCTTCGAAAACGAGCGCCTTTTTGCTCTATTTTACCATAAGAGTATAAAAAGTACATTCGCCTGCCATACATGTAGGATATACGTATATTTATATGGATGCGTGATGTGATTAGATGGGTGAGAAAGATCTCACTTCACACTGGGTTCCTCAGGCACCCAAAATCCATGACTCTTCGATAACAATGGCATCTGTAGTCTTATTATGTATATCTGTAGTCTCAGCATATGCGTATCATCAGACTTTTATAAATTCTAAAAATGACCAATACGTTCACAACTATTTCGAAGTCTCGATTCACAATCGAATGATCGATATATCTAACTTTCTTCACAATATCGATAGATTTTGAATGCTCATCGTACAAATTCATGATAACTCATGACTACTATTTTATTTGATATTTTTATGTACAATCATTGTGTGTTTAGAATCTACATGGTAGAATATTAATTTGTCGAACAAAGGACGCAAATTCTTCTTTGTAATATAAGTACGTAAATAAGATATCTGAAAATGAAAAGTATTCAAACTCATGCATTGGAAGTTTGTCATTTTAGGTTTCATTTACGATTATGAATACATCTATTGTGAATGATTATTTTTAACATGTTATCTGTCATTCCTATATATATATACATGTAAATGTAGAAAGTGTCCTGAGTACGAACTATGTATCTACTATCAAAATAAAACAGTATTGCAAAATAAGGAAAATTTGTCGAAATATTTGACAAACATATGATTGTTTAGAAAAAACATGTTTTCTCCAAATATAATGAAACATAGTCTGCTATTACAACATTAATTTATGTAAGTATAGGGAAATGTGAACAAAATTCCTAGTAAAGTCTTTCTGAAAGCAAAAAGTTGCAGATCGTAGATTTGTTGCAAATAAACATTATACAAGAATGGTGTTTAGAATTAACATATCTTTAAACATTATAGCAAAATATTAACACTGAATTTTTCAAACTTATATCATGATATGTTACTTTCTCTACATTAATTGAAAGTGTGATATCAAACAAATTGTAATCGTGACGTCATCGAACGATAGGTAAAATCGCGGGGTGCGCACGCCATGATTGCACGCATGCGCAACTAATGCTACATTAGACTGTATCGAACATGGCCGCCGCGTGCGTGATGCCGTTAGAAGTGCGTAAAAAATGATCGTTTTTTCGTGGCTCAAAGAACACGATCGTTTGTACGTGTGTGCAGAGTGACAGTGAGTGTTATCTCCAGCAATTCGACAACGTGTGGGACCATTATCATGGCGCTGGTCACCGTGCAGCGATCGCCGAGCGTGTCCAATTCCCCGCAGAGTTCGGTGAGTTTCCTCTCTTTGTACGTCTTTGTTGATACTTGCTGTCAATTTCTGTTAGGGATATGCTATTCTGAAGCTGTGCCTCAGTATATTCGGAGCACCGTGCACGAAACACGTTGCGTACAGTTTGGCATTGTTCAGTGACTTATTCCTTATTTGGTGCTCTATAAACAACCGACTGTGGCAGGGAAACGAAAAGACTCAAACTTCTTTTTCCTGTATTTACAGTGATAGTAAACTTACCGGCAAAACATCCTGTGTCGCTTGAAAAATTAGGTTTACGCTAAACAGAGGGTTGTTTTGATATTTCCCTCCTGCGATCGACAGTCACGATTCGAGACGAGGCTGCACGACTTCGCGGTCGCTAGTCACTTCGCTATCTAATCCGTTCGGAAGCGGTACATTTTTCTTTCTGCAATTTATAGTCCGAGATGATTCGAACCTTTCACGAGTTACTACATCACTTAAAGTCTTATTACGCTTTAAACGCGATCATGTGTAGGTACTTACAACGAAAGTTTACTTATTCGGTCATTGATCAAATCTATATAAGTTTCGGGTGAAAATGTGAAATGTATGGGCATTATGCTTGGTGTACGAATACGTCCGTTGTGGGTCAATCATTTTCTTCGATTGTTATGCGCATAACGAACAACGTGAAGTTTGTAAATGATTTTCTAATTTCACATTGTATTTGACCATTCATTTTTTCCCAAAACAGACTTATGTTTGTGTGCGTGTGCGCGCGTTCATGTGTGTGATGTCCCATTATCGATTCGTTTGTATTGTAAACAAGTTAACCTGCTTTAATGTGAATTTTTTAAATGAAATTTGAAATTCATTGAGTATGGATTTTGTGAAGTTTTAAGCAGAGTACGCAAATATACATACTTCTTTTCACCTTCCATCGTGTTTCGTTTCATCGAAGATTCACATATTTATGATAAGATTACTGACGTCGGAATGTCGTGATGGTTTACTACGGATTGTTACATATGCACACACGTTTCAAACATATTAGCCGGCGCGCGGCCTTAAACCACAGGAGCAACGGCAATTGATCCGTCGCGATCATGAAGCGGCGAAATAGAGTTTGAAAAGAGAGCGAAAGGAACAGGTGGATTACATTATACAGTAAATTTTCGATTAATACTTAAAACTCATTGTCAGAATTTCTTTGGGGTAGTTATCATAGAGAACACGATTTCCGCTGTTCATAAATTTCGGGCTACATCCACTGATCTTTATATGTATGCTAATTGGATGCGGTATTCCGTGTTAAACTCGTGTTCCGAATTGAAGTCCCCGACCATCATTTTCTATAGAAACAATTTCTCACTTTTCAGCGCTTTTACATTAGGGTCATTCCACGCGAAATCGGACACTTTTTGTTTCAATTTGGATATGTTGTAGTCTTTATCGATATATAAACGTATCTCGAAGGATTAACAAAAATTTAGAAATTGTAGATTTAACAGCTGTTTAAAATTTAAGGTCAACCTTTTTTCAATAAATCATAACTATTGAACTAGCAAACTGATCAAAATGAGCTTTGCGGGTACTTACAGTGAAGGCATAAGAGTACCAAATAAAAATTATTTCAGTTAAGAAAAGATATTTTTTGACCATTTATTGTGCAATTATTTTAAATAAATGCCCTGCTTTTATACTGCCGAACTATTTAAAAATTTGAAACAAAATGAGGATATATGGATACTTTAAAATTGGCCGTATGAAAATTAATTGAAGTGAACTTGAGAAAATAACAATTGGGTGACTTAAGAAAATAACAATTACAAAAGACAGACGTTGATTATTTAATGTAACGTCAGTAGTATCCGTAATTCAAATACTACAGGATACGGTTTTTGTCCGAAAACTTTTGTCCGGTACTGTGTATAGGCACAAAACAAAAATTGAACATTTATTTGACAGTGTTACAAGGAAGAAGAATGTTAAAAAATTAATTGGACATTGTCCCTGTGACACAAAATGAGGATAAATTTTTTTACAATACGATTTAACCCCTTCGCATCTATGGACGAGATATCTCACGAGTCTTTCCATTATACTATTTAGCGATGCTACAGGTAGGATATTTAATAAATATGTATTTTGAGTTGTAAATATTGATAAACAGAGATGCGAAACAGCTTGTCCAAGAAGTCCAATGAACGACATCGAGTAGCGACATATCTCGTCCGCAATTGCAGGAGAGACAATCTTTTATGTTTCACTATTTGGCGTTTTTGTATTCGGGCACATTTTAATTCAAGAAAGGTCAACGAACGATTGAAAATTGCTTGTGCAATAATAATAATTTCTTTTATTGGTCTATCTACACAATACATAGTCTTTAATATTTACCTCAATTGTATCATATAGATACTTCACATAGATATTCGTATAGATATTCCAGACTAAATGTCCATTTTTCCGAACCACCGAATGATTGTGACAGGATCCGGTAGATGAAAACCCAAGACGTTGCGTAATTTAATGTACAAAGCTGGCAAAGTGCCCAGTCAGCCAAACCTGCAAATCCAAATTTTATCCAATGCCTGTTATAAAGTTATGGCTACAGGTTTAATGCAAGATTTGCTATAAACAAGTTGCGCGCACATTGATAGCAATATAGGCAGCAAATTGACAGCAACACATGTAGCAAATTGGCTTACACAAACATTGTTCCGATTTTGCCTTCAATTTGACATAGGTCATGTTGCAAGACTTCTGCCAATTTGCTTTACCATTCAATTAGCTGGCGTTGCCTGCAAAACCCATGCCAAATGCGGAAACAGATGACTATGTTTATACTATGGCATTTATTGCTGGCAATTTGCTCGAAACTTGTAGACAACTGGTTATCAGGGTGTAACGCATGGCCATACACAATTGTTGCTCACGGCGATTATAACGACGCGATCTAAGTGGCAGAAATACTAACATTAAAATAAAAGTTAAAATAAAACACGAAACTTTTTTTGCAATTGCTTTCTTCAAGCATCGTCAATACAGCCAGAAGATAATTTATTTTGAAAACGATTAAATGCTTTACTCTTCGCCCGTATCTGTAATCGAAGACAATTAGAAATATTCTTCTCTCACAGTAATCAGTACTTCAGTTTCCATCAACCGTATTTCCAGTGGACCGTGTTCGCTCTTTGCTGAACTGATTTCAAGTTTACAACTTGTGTCATTTTCATTATTATTTGAGTCACTAATGCTAGTTTCATAAAGTCGCGGTATCGCATTTCTTTTCAGTCGACCCAACGTGGAATGACTGTTGTTTGAAAAATGCCGACTGCATATGTATTTTTGTTTTAATGTACTGTCAGAGCAATTCCATCCAATCATCGAGAAAGAATGAAATAAAGTGCCGTCCATGACATTTCGGGTTTATTAAACCGCAATTATGATATGAACATTTCTTAAAATGTGTTTTACTGGTCTGACGTTCCATGCTCTA